TCATTAGAATTTTCTATATTTTACTATTTTCTTTCTTTTTTTTTTTTATGTTTATTTTGGAGAGAGGAGAGAGACAGAGTGTGAGTGGGGAAAGGGCAGAGAGAGAGCAGGAGACACAGAATCTGAAGCAGGCTCCGGGCTCTGAGCTGTCAGCAGAGATGCCAACACGGGGCTCAAACCCACAAACCATGAGACCATGACCTGAGCTGAAGTCGGACACTTAACCAATGAGCCACCCAGGCGTCCCTGTTTTTCTATTTTCTATGTAAAATTTTTTTTATTGTGATCACTCTTCCTTCCTATTTTTTGCATGTTTTGGTTTAATATGCTCATCTTTGTCTCGTCTCTTAAGGTAATTCTTGCTTTTTTTAAACTATGAAATATTTCAAACATACTGAAAAATTACAAAGGAATTATAGTGTACCCAACACTGCAGATTAGCACTTGGGCATATTTACTCTTTATTTGTCTTAAAAAAAAATTTTTTTTTAACGTTTATTTATTTTTGAGACAGAGAGAGCATGAATGGGGGAGGGTCAGAGAGAGAGGGAGACACAGAATCTGAAACAGGCTCCAGGCTCTGGGCTGTCAGTGCAGAGCCCGACGCGGGGCTCAAACTCATGGACGGTGAGATCATGACCTGAGCTGAAGTCGGACACTGAATCAACTGAGCCACCCAGGCGCCCCGCTCTTTATTTGTCTTTAAAGTATAGCTATGGTTGAGGGTCCCATCCTAATCTCCTTCTCACTGTACAGTTTTAAACACTGTCTTGAGTTAATATTTCTTTCAACTTCTTTATTTAGGCTTTCCAATGTGTATTTTTCCCTAAATGTGTAGTATTGATGTATGTATTTTTAAAGTTTACATAAATGAAATTTTCCTGTATGTATCCCTCATAGCATTTTCTATTTACCATAGTTTTCAAGATTCATCCATATAGATAAATATAGATCTTTAATATATAGATTTGGGTCATTAATTACTTTATATTATTTACTTATTTTTTTAGTAGGCTCTATGCCCAATGTGGGGCTTGAACTCAGAACCCCTAGAACAAGAGTTTCATGTTCTACCAACTGAGCCAGCTAGGCACCCCTGATTTGGTTAATTTATCTTAACTGCTATGTAGTATTCTAATGATTAAATATACCATTTTTTACATTTCTTCAATAATCCCCAACAAAGGTTGTTTCTAATTTTTTGTAGTTATAAAACAGTGTAAAAACGAACGTCTTTTTGCATTTCTCCTTGACAACTTAGATTACAGATTCCTTACAGCACACACCTAGAAATATAATTGCTAGGTTAAATCATATGAACTATTCCCACCTTAGTGGCTATTGTGACATTTCTCTTCATAGTGGTTGTTCTAACTTGTGTTCCTACTAGTAAGAATGAGATTTCCTTGTCAGGAATTGTATACAGGTGTCAGTACTGGAAACTGTTAGTGGCTTACTGAGTTTGTGGTTTACATTGTTAAGATTGTCCTGTGGTTCAAGTTGGCTTGTAGAGTTCAACTGTGATGTCCATACAAAGGAAGAGAAGAGGGAAGAACCAAAAAGACCATTCTGGAATCATCAGCCGACTGTTTTTGTGGATATCTTGTTGGCTGCCCTTCTCTGTGTAGAAGACAGAGAAATGTGGTTTCAGCTGGGCACATTGTATGTAACAAAGAGGGGGTAGTTGTTGGGGAAGCCATTTATTGTCACAGACATTTATTGTCACAGACCTCATTGCTAACATTTCGTATTACTAAATGTTTTGGTTTTGGCAATTGGGTGAGTTTGAAGTGGTATCTTTTTTTTTTTTTTTTTTTTTTTTTTTTAATGCTTATTTATATATTTTTGAGAGAGAGAGAGCGAGAGCAAGCAAGCGAGCAGGGGAGGGGCAGAGAGAGAGGGAGAGAGAAAATCCCAGGCAGGCTCTGCACTGTCAGCACAGAGCCCGATGAGGGGCTTGATCTCATAAACTGTGAGATTATGACCTGAGCCGAAATGGAGAGTGGGACACTTAACCGACTGAGTCACCCAGGCGCCCCTCTTCTGGACAGGTTTTAGGGGCACCTGGGTGGCTCAGTCGGTTAAGCATCCAGCTTTGGCTCATGTCATGATCTCGAGTTTCTTGAGTTTGAGCCCTGCGTCTGTCAGGGTGAGTCTGCTTGGGATTCTCTCTCTTTCTCTCTGCCCCTCCCCCTCGTGCAAGTGTGTGTGTGCGCGCGCGCTCTCTCTCTCTCTCTCTCTCTCTCTCTCTAAGTAAATAAATAAATAAACTTTAAAAAAAAAGTTTAAACCTTTGCTTTCCAAAAAATCCATTTGGGATTTTTGTATCTTTATTTGTGAGTGATCTGAGATAATGATCTCATTTAACTCTTTTCCATCTGGAAGGCCACTGGTTCCAGCAACATCCATGCTTTCGCCACTCTTTGCTCTGCTACATCTATCATACTTCATATTTCCATGTGTTGCATGGGCTTTTGAATCTGTTGTATTGGTCTGTTTACTTTTCCCCCTGCATCAGCACCACTGTCTTTTATTTTGACAGCTTCACAGCTTTATAAAAAGTCTTTGTTTAGTAGACCAGGCTCCACTTTGCGTCTCTCTTTGGTCAGTTGTTATGTCCCTTAGTCAAATTTTATACGTGTCTTCGTCAATGTTTTGCTTCTTTTGTTAGATACATTACGAGGTGCTTTATACTTTTTGTATTGTGAGTGGTGTCTTTAAAAAAAATTTTTAATGTTTATTTATTTTTGAGAAGAAAGAGACAGAGAGAGAGACAGAGCGTGAGCAGGGGAGGGGCAGAGAGAGAGGGAGACGCAGAATCCGAAACAGGATCCAGGCTCCGAGCTGTCAGCCCAGAGCCCGATGTGGGACTCGAACTCACACACCATGAGATCATGACCTGAGCCGAAGATGGATGGACGCTTAACTGACTGAGCCACCCAGGCGCCCCTTGAGTGGTGTCTTTTTAAACAATTTATTTTCTGAGTGGGTACTGTAGGCATATAAGCATGCCATTGGTTGTATCTGGTTCTCGTCCCTAGGAACACTTATCTCGATCTCAGTGGTTCAGGTTTTCATCGTCCTTCACTTTTCTTTTCCGTAAATCCATATTTAGTAATTTCTACTCTCGCATTTCAGTCATGTGAGTGTCCCGTCTCGTGCTTGACCATGAAAGTAATGTTGCTGTTGCTGCTTTTGGGGGCACCTCAGACCATCCCCCCCCGCCCCCCACCTTTTTAAACATTTTTAAGTGCAGCTCACCGCTGCTCCTCCCTATTCTCAGTTAGGGTCAAAAGGAAGTGCCCGGAGAGATCAGAAGTTTACGTTAGGTTATGTGGCTTGGCAAGCACAAGATCTCTCTGTCTCTGGAGCTGATGGCTACCCCCACCCCCATTTCTAGTTTCCTTCCTACCTTTAGGTCCCCTGTTCTGTGTCTCTGTTTCTCTCTTGGTTGCCTTCCTCTTTTCCCCTGCTTCTTCCTCCTCCTCTCATTTCTTTAACTGTCATTTTTTGGCACCTGCCAGGACACTTTATTTTGTACTTTACATATGTCAACTCATCTGATTATATCCTAGTCACTGAGGATGGCGGGGCAGCCCTATTTCCTAGATGAGGAACGGAGAGGGGGGCCCAAGCTTGCACAAGCGGGGGAGTCTGGATAAGAAGTCAGGCCTTTCAGTGATCTTTCCACTTTGCTGTGCTGCTGAAGTTAGGTTCCTTCCTTGTAAGTAGATGAGTTCAGTGGGCTATCTCTCTCTCTCTAATAAAAAAAGTTTTTTAGTGTATCTATTGAGATGGTGTCTTTAGATTAAAATAAATTTGAGCGTTTGTTTCGGGGAAAGGGTGCTACTCAGCCCTTTGTGAACAGCAGTCTGTAAGAGCACCCGAAAGAAAAAAAGCCGCAGAGAGAGAAGAAAGAAAGTATAGGTTGAGGGGCTCCGTCGGTTGAGCGTCCGACTTCGGCTCAGGTCATGCACGATCTCGCGGTCCGTGAGTTCGAGCCCCGCGTCAGGCGCTGTGCCGACAGCTCGGAGCCTGGAGCCTGCTTCGGATTCTGGGTCTCCCTCTCTCTCGGCCCCTCCTCCACTCACACTCTGTCTTTCTCTGTCTCTCAAAAATAAATAAACATTAAAAAAAAAAGTTTTTAAGAAAATGTAAGTGGAAATTCGCTATGTGAAATATGTTTTACAAGTAAGAATTCCGTGAAGCCAGGTAAGTTCTGGCAGGTGGCGCCTCCCGTCGTGAGGGCACCGTTATGTGTCTCAATGTCCATCACAGTGTAGGCATGCTTCCTGTGTGTACGTGAAGGGTCCTTGCTTTTAGGTGTTGAGGGGAGCCAGGAGTTAAGTAAACTGGGTTCTGTTCCTGGCTCTGTCACTGATGGGCGTTGTTATTCTGGGCAAGCCGTTTTGCCTTCTCGGGCATCAATCTCCTACGTAATCGATCCAGGTGGGAGCTTAGTGGTAGCGAATCTGCCAGGATGCAGCTGGTCCACAAATTCCTAACAACACGCAGAATCGTCATCATCCCAGTAGCTGTTCTCATTCTCGCAAGGCCCTCCGTGGTCCGCGTTCGTAGGTACACGTCCTCGTGGAGCGCCATCCCCGTGGTGTCTGCTTACATCTTGTGTGTTCTCGTGCGGACCTCCCACGAACCCTAGAGCCTCCAGATTACTGTCATCGATTTTCTTTGTTAGCGGCAATGAACAGTTTCCCACATATTTTCCATACCTGTACTTAATTGTGGGAAAATTGGAACTCTTTGTGAAAGCACAGAAGCTTCCCTGTAAGACCATCCCCGTCTTTACAATTAAGAGCGGGGACATCGGGCCAATAGGTTTGGGTTTACAGAGGAGGGGACTCTTCTGGCCAGGGCTTTAAGGAGGAACCAGAAATGACTGCTAGTTGCTTTTTCTCTCATTGTATTTCTATTTTAAGTAAAGGAAACATAGTACTTAATCCTGAGATGTAAAGGAATAACAGATATTTGTTATTTTATAGGGTGACTGTTGGATCTGTATGGAACTCATGTCTACCTCGTTTGATAAGTTTTACAAATATGTATATAGTGTATTAGATGATGTTATTCCAGAAGAAATTTTAGGCAAAATCACTTTAGCAGTAAGTACCTGGTTTTCAAATTGTTCATTCTGTCTATACTTCCGTAAAGATGCTGTTGGGGTTTTGAATGTCCATATCTGAATGTCCTTCACAGAATGTTTTTGACCTTCCTGGAAAATCATTTGTAATAGGAAAAGAGACACAGTCACTTCTGTGGGATAACTAATACAAGTCCTAAGAAACAACTTTCAAAATATATTCTATGTAAAAACTGTAATACTCTGCTCATTACAATCACAATGAACCATAATACATTGTGCTGTAAATAGGACCAGAAGAAATTTTCTGCTCCTTTTTAGTCCTGTTGCTTTTCCTACTTTTAAATTGGTTATATTCTCACCATTGTCTCTGAATTAATCAGAATTACAGCAGTTCCCTTGAAGTCCCTTACACTGAAACTCTTAAACAAAGCATATTTCCTGTGGTTTACGTTTTGAGCTGCCCACTCTAAACTATTTAAATTTTTGCCTAGCAATTTCAGTAACCTGCATTGCTACTAATTGGGTCAATTCACTTGCACCAGACTACCAAAAAGAGGCCAGGTGCTTTTTTACATATGTGTTTGTCGTTTTGAAAGCGAATTCCTCACCATTTTCTTTCCTGCTCTGAATCTTTCAGCTGACCAAAGTTGTCCACGAAATCCTTTTCAGTAGGGTAAAATTAGTAACACTCTCAGAAACCCGTAAGAATCTCAGCTAACGACAACGACTTAGGTTAGTGAATGTGCAAAATAAGTTTTCGAGGGATTTGTAAGGTAGATATTCCGGTCGCGAGTAATTTCCCGCCTCTTCCTTTCCTGCATCCTCTATTTTCAGCATAGTCTACCCGCTAACTGCCGACTCATCCCGTTTTATCCTTAAGGGTTAATGTAAAAATATATGGGCAGTTTCTGATCTGTATTTTAGTCATGAAAGGTGTGTGTGTATAATTGGAATTTTAAAAATCAGATGAAACGCTAATCATCGAAATCTTGAGATCCGTGGGTCTCGTTAATATTTTAATTTATTTAGCTAAATTGATTCATAAATTTAAATATTTTATGAGCTAAAGGTTAAGTTATACACCCTTTCATATGGTTTTATAAAAAGAAGCTGAATTACACTAGAAACTTATTTTTGGGAAGATAAATGAAATTTTGTCATCTTTCCAGTATACCAAACCCAGTATTCATAGCAGTTATAATGCGACAGTAGTAGAATAATGATAATAGCTAATGGTTATTGAATGTTTATTTTGTGTCAGGCCAAGATCTTTTGACATTTTCTCTTCGTAGTAATTCTCTGTGGTAAATACTGTAGCTCCCTTTTTACACATGACAGATCTGGAGCCTGTAGAGGTTAAGTAGTTAATTTGCTCTGAATCTCATACAGTTGTAGATGGTGAATGATTTAAGGCCCAGGCAGCCCCATCCCAGAATCCTGCTCTTGACCGCCATGTACCAGGGTGGCCGTGAAGTTGGGAAACATAGACAAAATTGTTTTATTGTATAATGCAGTATGTGTAATATAGAAACACTAGTAAATCATTTATTACATGTTTGCCTATGTTTCCAGACTTGGTGATCATCCTTCCTCTTAAGCACAACATTTAAAATCACTTGGTGTTAAATCTCTTCTTGCTCATTAACAACCCAATGAACACAAGAGGCTTAGCTGCTTCAAACATTGCAAGTTCTGTGTTCCTGACACCCAGCAGCTTGATGGGGCAGAGACTTGACCTTTTGATAGCAAATGGTTGGCCTGTCCTTTAGTCCTCTTTTAGTTGGAGACTGTGGAAATTTTAACTCAAGTCCCTGTTCCCTATATTCCTGAAGAAATGACTGGTTTTCTGAGCAGTGATCAAACAATATTGTCAGTTCTGAATAAATTGCGATAGAGGTTGAGCAGAGATACTTTGGCTCTGTGAAAATGACTTTGAAGGCGTTGCACCGAGTGAAGGGGAATGAGTAATTATAGACACCAAGGAAATTTGGAAAAACTTAATTTAAATTAGAGGTCATAACGGAACCAGACTATATGGACTCTCTTGTATGGAATATTTCCATTCTTAAAAGTTTGAAGGTGCGAGAAATGTACAACTTTGTAATGACTTACTGAAAAATTATAAGTTATTGGGTTCTTTTCATTATTGGGGACCAGCATGTAAAAGCAAGTAAGTTTTCAGATCTAAAATGATCATGTAGCATTTTCACTTAACACAAGAGGTGGACAGAATATTGAAATAATGGAGCCTAAAAGAATATAAAGGGCTTCCGGGGCTGTGATAAACTGCATGCTTTTTGATTAAAAGGATATTACTTCTCTCATCTTTGCTTTTTCTCCCCAGACTGTGAAAGCACTAAACCACTTAAAAGAAAACTTGAAAATCATTCACAGAGGTGGGTAGGAATTATTTTTTATAGATTAGAAATTAATCTATAAAATTTCCTTAATAGGAAAACATTATTGAAAATTACAGTGTCACTGTCTAAGCTTTCCTGAAATACTTGTGTTTTTAGCAAAACATATGTATCCTAACACTATTGTTATTTTTTCCCTAAAACTTTATTAATTTAAGGTATTTTTTTCTTTGGGATTCTATAAATTTCAGCTTAGCTTATTCATATATTGAGTTTAGAAATTGAAATAGATTTTGCTGCAAGTTCTTAGTACTCTTATTTGAAAAACAGTTATTCATTTGCTTGATAGATGCTGTTTCTCTGTGTATACAAATGAGCAGGAAGATGGTCCTGGGGACATTCAAATGATTTGGAGGATGGTACCTTGAGCATTTTATTTTTACATGTATATGTATGTATGTATGTATGTATGTATGTTTATTTTTGAGAGAGAGAGAGAGAGAGAGAGAGAGAGAGCGCATGAGCAGGGGAGGGGCAGAGAGAGGGAGACACAGAGCCCGACGTGGGGCTTGAACCCACAAGCTGTGAGATCATGACCTGAACTGAAGCTGGATGCTCAACCGACTGAACCACCCAGATGCCCCCCTTGAGCATTAAAAAAAAATGTGTTTTTTTTTTAATGTTTATTTTTGAGCAAGAGAGAGAGAGAGCGCAAGACGGGGAGAGGCAGAGAGAGAGGGAGACACAGAATCTGAAGCAGGCTCCAGGCTCTGAGCTGTCAGCATAGAGCCTGACGTGGGGCTCAAACCCACGAACTGCGAGATTATGACCTGAGCCGAAGTCAGACGCTAAACCAACTGAGCAACTCAGGCCCCTCGACCCTCTGGAGCATTTTAAAGTCATGTTACTGTCCCTTTCAGGTGTTTCTTCTTTACTTTAGAAGATTTTTTTGAAAATAGAGAGAGATGCTTTGATTGTTACTGTACATTGAAATTCATCTAAAGCATTTGTATTTGCACGAACAGTGATCTTGGCCTTGTTAGACACAGGTCCGAATGTAAACATTTGATGTAGATTTATTGGAAGTCGGGGGGAATCACGAAATTAATTCAGCAAACACATTTCACAGTTGCTCTATTTATTACTATGCTAGACTCAGGGCCGTGTGGTGGTGGCTTTGAAGAAGTAGCCAAGGTCACTCTCCTCACGAAACTTGTCACGGACAAATCCAGGACAGTACATGGCACTGTGTGGTCCAGCCGAACAGTAAATAGGGCAGAGAGTAGAAGGTCGTATTCAGAACAGTGGAAAACCTTGCACTCTAGGAAACATGGTGTCTAGTGCTTAAAGAAATTAACAATTGGGGCATTTGTTTAAGTCACTTTCATTTGGCGTTGACTCAGGACCGCTGAAATTAGTTAACCTTGAACATCAGCATATGTTGTATTATCAGGAATAATTTTGCGTGGCTTAATGTTTGTTAAAAAATAATAGGAGGTAGGCTTCTTATTTCCTCTTTTGGCCTAGAATCATGTAGGGTTAGGTCGCTAACCAAAATTATTTTGTTCTTGTTAATCTCGTTCTTGTTTTGGGATATTTTTTTTGGCTGTATTTTGCGCCTATGAGAGTATCCCCTTTAGGGCATTTAACACTTACCTCGAGGATACTCGCCAATCACAGTGAAGCACTAAGACAGTGCCAGAGGAGTAGCTGAACAAGAGGAGTAGCTGAATGAATGGGAAAATCTTCAAAAATAACTTCGGTTTTCCTATTAATAAATGAAACGATGAGTTTATAGCAGTCTCTTTTTTCTTTGATTTTTTTTTTTAATTTTACTTTTGAGAAAGAAAGACACACACACAGCGTGAGTGGGGAAGGGGCAGAGAGAGGGAGACTCAGAATCCGAAGCAGGCTCCAGGCTCTGAGCTGTCAGCACAGAGCCTGACGCAGGGCTCGAACCCACAGATTGCGAGATCATGACCTGAGCTGAAGTTGGACGCTCAACCGACTAGCCACCCAGGCTCAAAGTCCCAGCCCCAAGTCTCTTTTTTTCTTATCCATTATGATCAGTTAGCTTTTTTGCTGTAGTCAAGAGTGCTTTTGGTTATGAGTAACAGAAAATCCTGATAACTGCCTTAAACTTCAAGCAAATTCACCATCTCTGTCCTGACAAGTCAAAGGGTAGGGTGGCTCCAAGCCCAGTATGTTTAGGGTTCAAGTTCCCTTCTTTTGACTCCACCCTTCTTAATATGTTGGCTGTGTCCTCAGGGTGCTAACTGCCACAGCAAGTCCCCAGCGTCACATGTGGATGTGACAGCCTCTTGGAGAAGCTCTTTCTCTTCCCGTTTGGCCATTTTAGGAGCTGGGAAATCTTCCTTCTCTCTCTCCAGTGTTTTCTCTTGTCTCATTCACCAGAATTGCCTCATGCCCTTGCCTCAACTGGTTACTGGTGAGGAACGACCCTGATAAGTTTGGACCAGTCAGGCCCCAGTTTGGGAGGTGTGGTTAGAGCTACACAGAGGAGGATAGATGCCTCAATAAAATCAAATGTAGATTCCGTTAGAAGGGATGGGCTGGTTAGGATGGACGTTTGATAGGCGTCAGCCTTGTCAGTGCTGGTAAGAGACCTTTTCTGGACTTTTCTGTAGCTCTCCTTCTGAGTTATAGACATATTTTTTGTATCTCATCTTTTTTATCCTTGCTTTTTATTCATTGAGATTTGATAGTGATAATGCAATGGATAGAAGCATTGAGACAGGGATAGAGAATTAGTGAGCAAAGGGGGAGAATTGGCCAGACAGTGGGTCTAGCACATTCCAGCAGTGAGTTCATTGTCCGTGAGGAAGGGGTGAAAATCCAGGGGCTAGTTTGGCAAGACCATAAAACTCAGAGAACCAAATGGAAGGCATTTGGCTTTCTCAAATTTACAGGACAGCAGACACACACCTTGGAAGGGGTGAAAATGAAAATGAATCTGGTTTCTCAAGGATGACTCAAAGGATTAGTCGGGGGGAAACTTGATGAAGTCAGCTAAAGTCAGAAAAATCTCTTAAGGAGGAATAATTACTAAGTGGATACGTATCATTTATTGAGTACAAATAAAGTTCAGGTACTGCATCCGGTGTTTTCACGCCCAGAGCCCTGTGAATTAATGATTATTTTCGTTTGGTAGATGAGAAAGTTGTAGCTGCTGAGAGAGTTGACTAGCTTGCCCCAGGTCACAGTGTGAATTTTGGACCCAGATTTTGAGTCTTTGCTTCTTTGGTCCAAAAGCTGTGGTTTTGAGGTAGACTGGATTAGATACTTTTCTAAGTTAGATGAAGCTTGACTTTATAACTAAATTGTGGCTGTATAATTTGCATAGTTTGCATGTGGGTGGATAGTCTTTGCCATCCTGTAAGGTAGCTTGGTTTGCTCTTGTAGGTTAAATTCATTCTTTGTATTTTGACCAGTAAGTAATGAATTTGAAACAGGTAAATGAATGTAAGTCTTTTGATATAAACAAAGAAAGCATTATAGAATGCTTACATTTACTGTGAAACATTTCTGAGCCTGCATTTGTAAGCATTGGCATTCAGAGTATTCTTTCCTCATTTTCCTCCTTTTAAATACCTGAATTTTAAGGACTTGATCACTTGCATTATCTAAAGTTTTTCAGTAATTTTGCTTAACATGCTTTAGAATATAGCTCATTTGACCGTTCACTTGTATGTGGAATGACCTCTCTCTCTCCCTTGCAGATATCAAACCTTCCAATATTCTTCTGGACAGGAGTGGGAATATTAAGCTCTGTGACTTTGGCATCAGTGGACAGCTGGTGGACTCCATTGCCAAGACAAGAGATGCCGGGTGTAGGCCATACATGGCAGTAAGTACGAAGGCCAGATCTTCCTGCTTGGTAGTCTTTGCCCCGAGATCCCCTGCCCTTTGGTGCTCTCCTTCCCAGGGGTCTGACACTGGTCAGCAGTTTTACCATACTAGAATATTTTCCTCTTCCCTAAGAGCCAAATTCAGGTTCTAGCTTCTCCATGGAACTATGAAATTGTCCCAGTGAATTCCTGTTTCCTTGTCTTCCTATTCCACTAACCCCCAGGTGGTTCTCAGAAGGCCTCTCTGTTTCCAGCGCCCCCTATGCTCTCTTGACTGACGTAGATAACATTGTAGGGTCAGGGATACTATGGATCTTGTGTCCACATCATCCGTTAACACATGGAGAAAGTGTCCTGGGCCACCCAGTGATGCTTTTCTTCCAGTTGGAGAAAAACGGGAGACTGGAGTTCCCAGAGTTCCTAACAGAGCTCACAGTGTCTGGAAGAATCTGAGGCTGTGTTCTGAATATTGTTGGTCCCTTCTTTGGAGGTGGATGAAGCACGCTGACAAATTCAAGGGTAGAGGTCTTGGGCATTTGCCAACTTAGATCCTGTTTGTCCTCGGAGCCGGACTTACACTAGCCAGACTTACACCAGCCATCCACATGGTTCACACTCACCTTATCCCTGTATGTATGGTATGTTCCTACAGGCTGGATTTTCATCTGTATTTGATTGAAAATTCAGTGTCTATGTTTGAAGCGCTTGCCCTAGGTGTTGGTGTCTTCTTTAATGTGGCTGTAGTTCTTTGGGGACCAGCATGCTGCTTGTAAGTGGTGGCATGTGGGTATGCAGAGTATTGACTCATTCCATTTAGCAGCTTTGGCCGCAGTCTTTATGGACTTGTGTGTGTGTGTGTGTGTGTGTGTGTGTGCCAAAAGATATCTTCATTTGCAGTTTGGGCTTTGTGGATGTTGGCTGGGCAGGCAGATTATTGGGAACATTTGGAAGATCTTGCATTCATCATGATAATTAGAGATAAATGGAACAATTTCAAAAGTAAGAAATAAAACATATTAATCACTGAGCATTTGCGAATTCATATAATTTACACATTTAGTAATGATGCCCTGAGAATTAACTAGAAATTGCCACCTTCATTTTTCGGGCTTGTCACAGCACTAAGGTGACTGAGTACCTTTGCTGTGTAACACTGATGAAAAAAAATTTTTTTTAAAGATAGTTAAAAATTTCTTTAATGTTTATTTTTGAGAGAGAGAGAGAAGGAGAGGGAGGGAGGGAGGGAGAGAGAGAGAGAGAGAGAGAATGAGTGGGGGAGGGTCAGAGACAGAGGGAGACACAGAATCCGAAGCAGGCTCCAGGCTCCAAGCTGTCAGCACAGAGCCTGATGCGGGGCTTGAACTCTGAATGGCGAGATCATGACCTAAGTTGAAGTCAGACGCTTAACTGGCTGAGCCACCCAGGAGCCCCTGTGTAATTTATGCAGGTTTTAAAAAGGTAATTGCAGCACAGCTGAAGCTGAATGTTTGTACTCAGGTGACTTTTTTTTTTTTTTTTTTTTTTTAATGTTTATTTGTTTTTGAGAGAGAGACAGAGCGTGAGCCAGGGAGGGGCAGAGAGACAGGGAGACACAGAATCCAAAGCAGGCTCCAGGCTCTGAGCCATCAGCACAGAGCCTGACGCGGGGCCCGAACCCACAAGCTGTGAGATCATGACCTGAGCTGAAGTCGGACACTCAACCAACTGAGCCATTCAGGCGCCCCTGTACTTAGGTGACTTTTAAGAAAGAAGGAGACTTTGAGTCTCTGTGTGGAAATAGGGCTCACAGGCCCAGGAGCTGCACTGCTTTTCATTTCCTGCTAAGCTTCTTCAGCTCTGGAGTCAGCAGGCAGATCATAAACTTCTCCGCCTTTAATCCTTCCTGGACTAAATGAAATGCTTCTGTCCACTCGAGTCTTGTGAGGCCTGTAGATGGGCAGGAGTGTGGTCCACATTAATTTTATTACAAGCCTTAAGGTGGCTTGACTCTTTCTTGATGCATCTTTACATCAGGTATCAGAAATATATCTTGTCTTTTTTTGTTGTTTTTTAATGTTTATTTTTGAGAGACAGATAGAGATAGAGGGTGAACAGGGGAGGAGCAGACAGCAAGAGGGAGACAGAATCCGAAGCAGGCTCCAGGCTCCAGGCTCCGAGCTGTCAGCCCCACACGGGACTGGAACTCATGAACTGCAAGATCATGACCTGAGCCAAAGTCAGATGCTCAAACCGACAGAGCTACCCAGGCACCCCATAGCTTGTCTTTTTATTTAAGATTTATTATTTTATCTTTGATCTATAGGAATTGTGATTTCTTTTTAGATTATTTATTTATTTATTTTTTTAAATAATTATTTATTTTGGGGAAGGAGCAGAGAGAGGGGGGTAGAGGATCCCAAGCAGGCTCTGTGTTGACAGGCTGACGGGAGCAAGCCCGAAGTGGGGCTCGAGCCCACAAACTGCGAGATCATGACCTGAGCCGAAGTTGGACACTCAACCGAGCCACCCGGGGGCCCCATCTTTCTAGATTATTTAATATCATGATAAGTGTATAAAATGTAGAGTTGAAACACAAACGTTTCCAAAAACCAATAGCTAACCTTTTGCAGCCTCCTTGTCTCCTCATCTAGATGTGCATAAACATAGATACAGACACACACGTATGTATGTGCTCTGGAGCATTTGAAAGTACGTGGCTGATGAGTTTTATTCTAAACACTTCTGCGCGAATCTCCCCAAAAAAGTGCACTTTTCTTCACAACCACAATGTCATCACCACACCCAAAACACAAACCTTAAATGATTAGCAAGAATTTCATAGTATCACCTAATATGTACTTCATGCACACATTTCCCAGGAATGTCCCACATTCTGGATTTGTCTGATTATCGGTTCCTCGTGGTTAGTTTCAGGCATTTTCTTTGCATGCTTTGTATTTTTGTGTATGTGAAAAACTGGACATTTTGAATATTATGACATGGTAATTCTGGAACCCATATTCTTCCCCTCTCCTCATGGTTGGTTTTGTTCCTTGCTATGAGACGTAGCTGTTTCTTTAGTGATTTTTTTTTTTTTTTTCTCTAAAGTCTTAACATCTGTGTAATGGGGCCGCCTGGGTGGCTCAGTCGGTTAAGCGTCTGACTTCGGCTCAGGTCATGATCTTGTGGTTTGTGAGTTCGAGCCCTGCGTCAGGCTCTGTGCTGACAGCTCAGAGCCTGGAGCCTGCTTCGGATTCTGTGTGTCCCTCTCTCTCTGCCCCTCCCCTGCTCACACTGTCTGTCTGTCTGTCTGTCTCTATCAAAAATAAATAAACATTAAAAAAATTAAAAAGAAAAAGTACGTGTAATAAATCCTATGTGGTCTCTGATGTGTCTTTTCCTAGCTTGTGTTCAGCTAATGTTTTGACAGTTTCGTTTTTTGTTTTCCTTAGTTTTTTGTTTTGCTTGTTTTCTTTCGGATACCAGTATCCAAAAAGAAAAGAAAAAACAATCCATAAAGAAAACAAAGGGAAGGAAACCCACATAACTACTGGAGCCCTTGCAGATGGCTTTTGTGCTGGGGGCTCCCCTTCAATGCTCAGCCCCTCCATTCACATATCTGCTTTCCCTTTCACTTCCTACCTGCCCTTGGCCTGTAGAGCAGCCAGAGGTTACAGCTTAAGTCCTCTGGTCTTTCTGAGTGCGGGTCCCCCACTGGGCATGCACCTGGCTTTCTAAACTTCCCAGCATGCACAGGGGAGTGTGAATGGCTTCATTTTCCAAAGAAACTCTGCCGTCTACTTTTCCTGCCACATTTCTGGGGGTCTCATGTATGTCTCAGTCCTTATCTTCTGCACCGGCCATCCGCAGGTCACGCGTTTGCCTTACAGTGTTTTTGAGGCGCGTCCTCTGATGTTATGCCGTGAGTGAGTCCCCAGCTGGGCAGGACAAAGGCAGGCCCCACGGCCCATTCTCCATCGCTCCCCGGACAGGTTGGAACAGACCAACTCCCTTCTTCTTGATTAAGGTCTGCTCTGCTTCCTCTTCCCTCTGGACCCCGAGTCTAGGGTCTGATACCGGGGATCTGCCGTCTGTAAGACAGCTTTTGAGCCGGGGCAAGGACAGGGGCAAGGTCAAGTAGAAATGCTGCAGAGGTTTCTTATCATTTTTAAGTTGGATTTTCTTGATTCATTGTTTGCTTGGTTGCTATAAACTTTTTAAAAATATGTTTATTTATTTATTTTGAGAAAGAGAGAGCATAAGTTGGGGAGGGGCAGAGAGAGATAGAGAGAGAGAGAGAGAGAGAGACAGAGCATGAGCAGGGGTGGGGGGCAGAGAGAGAGGGAGACCCAGAATCTGAAGCAGGCTCCAGGCTCTGAGCTGTCAGCATGGAGCCCGACATGGGGCTCGGACTCACAAACTGTGAGATCATTCCTGAGCTGAGGTTGGATGCTTACCTGACTGGGCTACCCAGGCACCCCTGGTTCCTATAAACTTTTGATTCTTTAACCCCAGAATTCTGACAAGGTTGGTTATTTTTTTGCTTTATTTTTTCATGTTTCTTTGGAAGGATGCTCCCTTGGAGTTGCCTGCTCTGTCGTTTTCGCTGTTGTCAGTCTATGTATCGTTTTCGCTGTTGTCAGTCTATGTATCGTTTTCAGTGAAGGCCATGTTCTGAACACTCATCTTGTTCAGAAAACTGGGAGACTGTGTAGAGTGGCTTTTTAAAAATTTTGCATCTGGATGACATGTTATGGGTAGTTTGTCAAAAAAGCGTTCTGGGACCCAATGACTGGGAGTCACTGTATGCTATTTTAAGGGTTTAGATACATCACGTATGTTAACACACTAATTAAAAATGCTGAGAAAAATCTCGGTGAAGAAACAGCTTTTCTAAACTTAGCATTCCCCTGATATTTGTCAGTGGAACCCACTTTATTTTGTGGCTTGCCTGTTAATAACCGGAAAGCAGTTTATTCAGGAGTGTTGTTAAGGATATAACGGTCTCAGGCTTTTCAGT